AGTTCAGTCCTCCACCAGGACCCACAGGTCTCTCCTTACTCAGGAGGTTGCTGGTTTCAAACTGACTTTAGCATCTGCCTTGGGTCATAATGTGACCCTCACAGGATTTCAAAGCTCAGTCTAAGACATTGTGTTCCTTAGAGAAATATTTCTTTCAGAAAGGAGTCTTAGATCCTGGGTATTAAAACTATTTTCCCATATGGGAAAACTTTAACATCCCCCATTTCTACCCCAGGTCTGCCATACACAAGCCCATGAGGGCCGTATTTTCAGCAAGGTCCTTGTCCCCTCTTCAACCTCTTAGTGCTAATGTGTTTGGAACCATCCACTGGTCTCTCAGGACCATTCCACATGCCTCACCTGCTCTCTGCAGGGGAAGAAGGGATGTAAAGTCCAAGGACAGGAATATGATTCTGCTCTAAATCTTGTCTGTCCCCCTCACCCTAGAGCATTCTTTGGACTCATGCTTTGCCTTTCAGGTGCCACTGGCTCCTGTCAGTCACCAGGAAACACCTGAGCAGAACTGTCCCCCTTGTGGCAACAGCCTGACCACCAAACTGAATGCCCCCAGTCTCCTAGTGTGGGATTTCTGTTCACACACCCCATTCTCACATCAGGCTGTGGGGTTTTCTTGAGGTTTAGGCACGATGGAGTGTCCCACCATGATCCACCTCTAGGTTGGCCTTGAGAACCAAAGGCTCAGAGGACACACACGTGGGCCAAGCCCTGGAGTCCATGCAGCTGGGGGGACTCTGCGTCTCAAGGCCAGCCAGGGCCAGCGAGGACCAGGAGAGGCACGGGGTTGCTAACTCCCAGTCCTGGGTCTCTCCAGGACCAAACTCTGCAATTAAGTGCACCTGTGAGAAACTCTGTGCTTCTCCCAGACACAGCCCAGGGGGGCCCACCTCCTCTGATCCCTCAGATCCTCCTGCATCTGCCCAGGATACCCACTCTGCCTGGTTCTTCAGGACTCAGGTTGGTGGGAGGTAGAGGCCAGCTCAGGTGGAAAGACGCCTTTGTGGGGATCACAGGTACCACAGGGCAATCCTCTCTTTGTTGTCTGCACAGAGAAATTACCCAAACCCAACATCATAATCAACAACTCCCAACCCATGGAGGGTGAGGACTCTCTAGCATTAACGTGTGAACCTGAGATTAATTATGCGACCTACCTGTGGAAGATAAACAATCAGATGATCCCAGATGGTGACAGGCTGAAGCTATTCAACAACAACAGGACTCTCACTTTATTTAATGTCACAAGGAATGACACAGGACCCTATGAGTGTGAAATCCAGAACCCAGTGAGTGCCAACCGCAGTGACCCACTCACCCTGAATATTTCCTGTGAGTAACTTCTATTCCTCCGTTACCCTGGCTGTGAACTCAAATACACAGGGCCAGAGGCTGGGCCACTTAGTCCCTCTCAGGTCCAAGTACACAGACCGTCTCTCCTGGGCACCTGGACTGGCTGTGCCATTTGCCCCAGGCATATCCACGCAGGTCCAGCCATGGGCCATGAATAGGAGGGGAGGGCTTGTGGTTCCCTGGAGAGGCCTGGGGTCAGCCACCTGGGACAGAGAAGCAGGGGAATGTCACAGACTAATTTCAGTGAACAAAGGGGGTTTGGTTGAGACTTCCTGTGAGTATGTATGGTGCTGGGATTTGAACCCAGGGCCTCATGCATGCTGGGCAGGTCTGTACCACTGTACTCCCCAGCCTAGTTATGACTTTAAAAAAAAAAAAAAAACAAGGTCATGACATGGATCAGTAGTTATATTGTGGCCTTCTACAGTCTAGGAACTTCCCCTTCCCTCTGATGACATTACATGTGGCTTTATTCTGTTTGCTCCAGATGGCCCGGATGCCCCCATCATAAACCCCCCAGAATCACATTTCCGTTCAGGGACAAATCTCAACCTCTCCTGCCACGCAGACTCTAACCCGCCTGCTAAGTTCTCTTGGTTTTTCAATGGGAGGCCCCTGGAATCCACACAAGAGCTCTCAATCCTCAACCTCTCTACAAATAATAGCGGATCCTATGTGTGTGTCGCCCATAACTCTGTCACTAACCTCAATAGGACCACAACCAAGAATATTACCATCTCTGGTAAGTGGACCCTGGAGCACAGTATCAAGTGCTGGGTGGAGTCTTGATTTTTCTGGAAACAACGTGGAAGAAGTTGCTTCCTAGCCTGGCACAAGCAAATCCCTGTCCTTGCCTGAGCCTCCCACTCCATCCCAGAGACTCTCCTCTTACTCTGATTTCTCATGACCAATCTAGAGTCCAGCCTGGAATGTGGGGAGGGGCTTCTCCCAGACCCAGAAAGTCCCAGGTAGTGGAAGGAACTTCCCAGAGAGGGGGAGGGTTCTTGAAATCAAGTCACTTCTTTCCATCACTAATTTGTCCCTTTCTGTCACCTCTCTGCTTTCTTTTACCTCCTCCATGAGCTACAAGGAACCTGCATGGCTTTGCAATACGTTCCTCCTCTTTTTCCCCAAATGACAGGAGCAAAGCCCCCTCAGATGGGGGACAAGCAGCTCTGCTCCTGTCCTGCTCCAACTCCATCTGGGGTGGGAGGGGTGGGTGGGAAAGAGGCCTGGGAGGCCCATCTGGAATCTGGATCGATCGTGTGGTCAGTTGGTGCCTCCCAAGTCAGGAGAAGGGGAGGGAAAGAGCCAGCCTGGGGGCAGATGCTTCTGAGTTGTGTCCTGGCTCTGAAGTCCCCAGGTGCATAGGGTTGGGAACACAAGCCCATGTCATGCACCACGGAGAATAGCAGAGATGCACACCTGGAGGGACGGGAGCCTCACCTGCAGAGTCCCTGCAAGGCCGGGCAGGGCGGTGCAGAGAGCATGTGTTTGCAGAGAGGACAAGCGTGCTGGGGTGTGTCAACACTGTGACCTTCATCTCCACAGGTTTCTTTCACTGGGATATTTAATCCACAGGCCAGGAAATAAAGTCCTCTTCAAACTGACAAATCCTGTAGATTGGAATTTCTCCAGATACTAAGATCATGAAGACAGGCTGGACCATCTTAATTCCCTGACAAATTATTTAATGAAAACTATACACTTTTGCCTCTGAATGTAAAGCTACTTCCTGCCTGCGAGCCTGACCTTCTAGAGACACTGAAAGTACTAGAAAAAGGTTACACAAGAGTGGATGCAAAAATTGTTCCACCTGAGGATAAGCTTGCTGGACAGATCCTATAGAGATATCCAGGGACCCTCAGGGGTCACCTCAGATGATCTGAGGTCGAAGGAGGGGCAGCCCTTTCCTTACATTGTCACCTGAACGATGACACCCAAACTCTGCAGAGGGTCAGGGCCATCTTCTGGGCCACCTTACACAACTCACTGTGGGCCCTGAGCACTGGCTAAGGTCTCTGAGGAAGGACCACCTCAGTTGTCCCCTCCTTTTTGTCCACAGAATCATTGACATCGCCCCACCTCACAGCTAGCAACACCAGGGTGGCAGAAGGGGACTCTGTGCAGCTGACCTGTGTCCCAAATGACACTGAAATCTCCATCCAGTGGCTCTTCAATAACAATACCCTACAGCTCACAGACACAATGCAGCTGTCCCTAAACAACAGCATCCTGACCATAAACTCAGTCAAGAAGATGGATGAGGGAGAGTATCATTGTCAAGTCTCCAACCAAGTCTTTTCCGAAAAGAGCAACCCCATCACATTGACTGTGATCGGTGAGTGACCCTCTGCTCCCCTACATCTTACTGGGGGGATTTCTTTATCAATGGTATACAAAATGGATAAAAGTCATAGGTGAAAGAATATCAATTAAGACACTAAAGCAGTAAGCAGAATTGCAAAGTGGTTCGGAGTTTAGGCTGTCAGTGAAATGTATAGTCAACTTCTGTATTCGTGAGGAACTCCTTCTAGAAGTCCTGCATATACCAAAGGATGCTCTAGAGCCTTATAAAGAATGGCATACTTAGGGCTGGGGATGTGGCTGAAGCGGTAGCGCGCTCACCTGGCATGCATGTGACCCGGGTTCGATCCTCAGCACCACATACAAAGATGTTGTGTCCGCCGAAAACTAAAAAAATAAAATAAAATTCTCTCTCTCTCTCTCTCTCTTTAATTAATTAATAAATAAATAAATAAATAAGAATGGCATACTTCCCAGCAGCTTGGGAAGCTGCCGCAGAAGGATCACATACTAGGCAAGTGCACTATCACTGAGCTGTTATTTTTATCCATAGCCCTTTTATTTTTGAGTCAGACTCTCACTAAATTGCCCAGGATAGCCTCAAACTTTTGATCCTCCTGCCTCAGCCTCCCAAGTAGCTTGCAGGCTAGTACCACCATGCCCAGTAACTTCCATACACCTTAAATCATCTCTAGATTTTTTTTTAATATCTTGTACATTGTAAATGTTGTATAAATCATTGTTATACTGTATCATTTAAGGAATAATAACAGAAAAACCCTCTACATTTTCAGTGAGAACACAATTTTTGTCGGACTGTTTTCCTTCTGCAGTTGGTTGAATCCACTGGTGTCAAGTCTGTGGATGCAGAGGGCCAGCTGCGCTGACCTTCTTATCTTGAGTCCGGCATTTACTCTATGACCTTGCACCAGATTCTTTTCTTTCATTTTTTTTTTTTTTTTTTTTTTTTTTACAGTACTGAGGGTTGGACTCAGGTTAGGCAAGTGGCAAGTGCTATACCACCAAGTTAAATCCCCATCCCTTTTTATTTTATTTTGAGACAAGTTCTGGCTATGTTGCCCAGGCTGACCTCAACTTGCAATCCTCCTGCCTCAGCCTCTCAAGTATCAAAACTACAGGTGTGCACCATGTGCCTGGTTCAAGATTCTTTTCTGTTCACTTTTTTTTTTTTGGTGTGTGGTAAAATACACACAACCTAAGATTTGCCATCTTGGCCCCCTTGAAGCGTACGATTCAGCAGCATTAACCAGGTTCTTGTGCAGCCATCACCACTGTCCGTTTCCAGAACTTTCCCATCCTGCTGAGCAGTAGATCTCAAAACATATTCCTCTTGTCTGTCTGAAACTTCAAACCCTCTGACCTCCTTGACCACCCAGTCTCTGGTAACCCCCATTCTACTTTCTACTTCTAGAAATTCAACATTTGTAGATTCCACATACAGGTGAGATCCTGCAGGGTCCCGCTTCCTGTTCCCAGTTTATTTCACTTCCTGTGTTGTCACAGTGATAGAATGCCCTTTTTTTGAAAGGCTGGCCAGCATTCCACTGTGGACATATGCCACCTTTTCTTTATCTGTTCATCCATTGACGGACACTTGGCTATTGGCAATGCTGCATGAACGTGGGGGTTTGGCTCTCTCTGACAGACTATTTCAACTCCTTCTGTGCCTGTATTGGGAAGTGGAATTCCTGGATTATGTGGTTGATAATGTCCCTTGGATGCACAGAATGTTTCAGCTCTCATGAGGTCCGATTTATCTGGTTTTTGTTATTATGAATACTTTTTTTGTCATAGCTAAGAAAACACTGTCAAAGCCAATGTCATGAAGGATTCATACTACATTTTCTTCTAAGATTTTTATAATTTTAGCTCTTACATTTAGATCTTTGCTCCATTAGGAGTTAATTTTTGAAGATGATACAAAGACTCAGATTCATTCTTTTTTAAAAAAATATACTTCTTTTTGTTTTAATAAATGCTTGTTTTTTAGTTTTATTTATGTGGTGCTGGGGATGGAACCCAGTGCATGCTAGGCAAGCGCACTACAACTTAGCCACAACCCCAGCCCTTCAGATTCATTCTTTTGTATGGATATCCATCTTCTCAACATCATTTATTGAAAAGATCCTTTTCCCCATTGGACAGTATTAGTACCCTCATCAAAATCATCTGGCCACAGGGGTGTAGTTAGATGGAAGGAATAACTTCTAATGTTCTATAGCACAGTAGGATGACTGTGTTTGACTAAGATTAATTCTAAATTTCAAAAAATCTAGAAAAGATGATTTCAAATGTTCCCCCCACACAAAAAAATGATATTAATCTATATGTCTTTCTTTATACCAGTAGCATACTTTTCTGGTTACTGTAGTATTGTACTAAATATTGATTCGTACAAGTTTGGGCTATTTGGGGTCCCTTGGTAATCCATATGAATTTTTAGGATAGATTTTTCTATTTCTGCAAAAAAAATGTCCCTGGGACTTTGGCAGACTCGTATTGACTGTATAGATCACTTTAGGTAGTACTGTCATCTTGACTTCCAAATCATGAACATAGGATGTATTTCCATTTATTTATGTCTTCTTTAATCTTTTTTTCTCCCCAGCAATGTTTTGTAGTTTTCTGGGTAAAAGTCTTTCACCACCTTGGTGAAGTTTATTTCTACATATTTCATTCTTTTTGATGCTCTTATAAATTGATTTTTTTTAAAGTTTCCTTTTGGATCATTAGTATGTAGAAATACACGGTTGTTGCATTGCATATTGATTTCATTAGCCTGCAACTTTGCTGAATTTGCTTATTAGTCTTAACAGTTTGTAGAATCTTTAGGATTTTTCTACATATAAGTTAATGTCATTTGCAAACAGAGAATTTTTACTTCTTTCTAAGATGTCTTTTCTTTCTTTCTTTTCTTTTCTTTTTTTTTTTTTTTTTTTAATTGCTCTGGATAGGACTTCTAATACTAAGTTGAATAGAACTGGTAAAAGCAAGCATCCTTGTATTTTTCCTGATATAGAGGGAAAGCTTTTAGCCTTTTTCCATGGAGTACAATGCCAGCTTGGGCTTTTCATATACAGCCTTTACTATACTGAGGTGGTTTTCTTCTAGTCCCAGTTTGAGTGATTTTTAGTATGAAGAGATGTTAAATTTCATCAGTACCTTTTAAAAGTTTTGGATTTCTTTGTTTGTTTGTTTGTTTTTGTCTTTGAAACAGGGTCTTCCTAAGTTGCCCAGGCTGGCTTTGAAATTAAAATCCTCCTGCCTCAGCCTCTGAAATAGCTAGGCTTACCAATGGGTACCAGCACAGTTGGCTAGGGCCCTTACTGATTCCATCTCCTTATTAGTTAGAAATCTGTTCAGTATTCTTTTTCTTCATGATCCTGTGTTTGTAGGAATTTGCATTTCATTTAGATTATACAATTGATGGCACACCATCAATTGAACTGAAAAATCTACCCTAAAATTATTATGGATTATCAAGGAACCTCAGTACTCTTATTCTTTTTTTAAAATATTTTTTATTTGTTATTGATGGACATTTATTTATTTATTTGTCTTATATGTGGTGCTGAGAATCGAACAGTATTCTTATTCTAAAGAAGTAATAATAATGTCTCCAATTTCACTTCTAGTTTTAGTAACTTGAATCCTCTCTTTTTTTTTTTCCTTAATCTGGTTAAAAGTTGTCAATTCTGTTCATCTTTTTTGAAGAACTTTTGATTTCACTGATTTTCTCTAAATTTTTTTTAGTCTTTAATTTATTTATCTTTAATCTGTGCTTTCCTCCTGCTACTAGGTTTGGATTTAATTTGTTCCTTTTCTACATCCAAGTTATAAAGCTAGATTGTTGATTTGAGATCTTTTTTTAATGCAAGAATTTATACCTATATACTTCTTGCACAAGATTCTTAACTTCCTTGAGCCAAGGAGTCCTCAACTGAAAACTGCAAAAAAGTACTTGCTTCATGGTATTGTTTTAAAGATTGAATATAATAATCAATTTACATTTCAGCAAAATGCCACACAGAGAAGAAATGTTCCATAAATGTTAGCTTCTATTACTACTATCACCCTTAGCCTCAAGGTCAGGTAGCCGGATCCACCTCTTATTAGCCACATGAATTTAAGTAAGCCTTTTCACCACTTTGAGTCTCAGTTTTTTTCATTCATAAAATGGAAATAATGTCTCTCTGACAGGTCACTGGTCTGTTGTTGTTGTTGTTGCATTATTTTTAATTTTTTTTAGACAGGGTCTTACTAGGTTGTGAGGTTGGCCTCCAATTTGAGATCCTCCTGCCGTGACCTCCCCATCACTGGGTCCCAATCACTGGGTTTACAGGCTTGTGCCACTGTGCCCAGCTATTTGACAAGCTTATAGTGTAGATCAAATGAGATACATACCAAGTATTTAGCACAGGGTCTCCATACCGGTAGACAACAGTAGCGTTAGCCATCAGCCTTGAGTTAACTGGTGAAGGCTATACCTAAAATAGTTGCTGCAGAAATAAAGAAGAAACAGATGCAAAAAGTATTATATATGGGCGGGGGGGCCGTGTTACACAAAAAACAAAACCACCAGGACTTGGTTACTGCCCAAACATGGGAAAGATAAGAAGGAAGTTAAGTGCAGACTTTTGAGCCTGGTGTTGGTTTTCATCTCCTGAGATGCAGCCAGGAGGGGGTTAGGGTTAGGGTTAGGGTTAGGGTTAGGGTTAGGGTTAGGGTTAGGAAAGTGGAACAAGACGGGGAGGAGCCTGGGAAAGGCCTCAGACCACAGGGCAGAGCTGATCCCCGGGAGGAGGCTGGGAGGAGGAGGAAGTGTTGGGAGGCAGTGGGGTTCTAAAGAGTTTCTAAAGAGGCCAGTGGGGAGTTCTCAAGACTCACCCATCAGAGGAAAACCTCATCTTGCAAAATTGGGCTTCCTTTCCAACTCTACAGGGGGCCATGGGAAGCGGGGGCTCTGTACCCACAAGGAGGTGGATTCGGAGTGCTCCCGTCTGGGCTTTCTGTCCATTACGGAGACCTGAGAGGAGACCTGAGAGGCACATAATCATGGCTCCCACAATTGCGAGGCCAAGAGAAAATGCAACCCTGAAAGGGTTGGCAGTCGTACAAAAATAGCAACTGCCTTTCCCAGGTTTCCAACGCCTTCAAATGACTGCCGACAGGGCAGCATGGAATTGAAAGGAGACCAATCACCAACCAGAAACAGGGACTGGAGGAAAGATTGTGAGGATGTAGTATGCCGATCACCTCCCAGCACCTTCCACAGAAATGTATCCCTCGAGGAACAGAGACTACTTGGTGCAAGGCGTTCCCCAAAGCACTCCCTCAGTAAAATCACTTCACCTTCATTTCTTCTTCTCTTTTCTTAACAGGCGGAGATGACATCCCAGGTGAACACCCACCAGGTGGACTCTCACCTGGGGCCATTGCCGGCATCGTGATTGGAGTCTTGGCTGGAGTGGGGCTGATAGCAGGCCTGGGGTATTTCCTGTTTTTCAGGAAGACTGGCGGGTATGGTGCCTTTCCTCCTCTTCCATGTTCTCCAAGGCCAACTGCCACGCTTGGGAGAGGGGAAGACTTCTTTACCTTACCTCCATCTCTGGGACTGGATCTCCTTCCCTTTCCTGAACTCCTTCTTCTCGGCACTCATTCCTGTGGGTGGTGGCTCTCCCTGCCTTCCTGCTCCCTGCCCTCCCTCTTGGACATGGTTATCCCCATCCCCATCCAGTTTGGAGGAACAGATCTGATTATGTTCCCCTGTCATCCCCCATCAGGAAGCCAAGGTCCAAGAAGGAAAACACAGGAAGAAATGAAAGGAGTATTATTAGGAGAAAGCAAATTACATGCTCTGTCCGCCACAGCAGCTGGAGATGGGAAGGACAGGACAGGAGGAGAATCTAAGAGAAAGTGGGAAGAACCAAAGTCCTCTTGGACAATAAAGGGGGGGGGGGGGGGGGCGATAAGCCAGAATCGAGGATCATGGGTTCGAAGCCAGCCTCAGCAACTTAAAGGAAGGCTTTAAGCAACCTGTCTCAAAATAAAAAATAGAAAGGGCTGGGTATATGTCTCAGTGGTTAAGTGCCCCTGGATTCAATCCCTGGTACCAAAAAGAAAGAAAGAAAAGAATAGAACTGTGCAGCAGGAGATGTAGCTCAGTGGTAGTTTGTACTGGGTTTGGTCTCCAGCACCAGAAAAAGAAGAGAAAAAAAAAATAGTGTGAACATCCAGCAAACAGGAAAGGAGTAAGCACCAAAGGAATAGTGGTTATGTTGAAGACTGAGGTCCTCAAAGGGTCAGCAGGACCAACCCAGTGTGAATGGACATCAAGGATCGCCAAAGAATTTTCTGCTAACCGTGTCCTTCCTAACTCAGGGAGCAAAGGTCCTGTGCTTGGGAATAGCAGTCACAGTGTCTGATATTTGTTTAGGGCAAGCGACCAGCACGATCTCACAGAGCACATACCCTCAGCCTCCAACCACAGTAAGTAAAGCCACTCGCCCAGTGAGAACCGTCTGCTTCATGTGTGCCCTGCAGGAAATGCCACAGTCACAGGCCACTCCCTCCCTTCTGAATTCTGACAGAGGAGGTCTCCACTGCCCAACCCGAAATTGGCATAGGTTCTCACACCCTTCCCAGCCACAACAGTGTCTTGAGACTTGGCCCCTGAGACAGGTTAGACAGGCCTGAGTCAACCACAGTTCCAGGAGCCATTCCCTCCTCCCTCCCTCCTTCCCTTCCTGCTCTACTAGGGATGTGGGCATTTATTCTCCCTTGGTGAGACTTTCCTTGTCTTGTGAGTGTGCTGGGTGCTGCGGGTCTCAACGTCCCTCCTTGCCACGGGAGCATGTTACTGAGAAACACATCTGTGCGAAAAATCAAGCCTTGAGAGCTGGTAGACGGGGTGGACAGAGGCCTCCTTGGCTCCACCCGTCTTCCTCTGGTACTAGTGTGCTGGGTCTGAACCACAGACCCCAAAGGAAGCAGATTCCTTAATGGATGGTGGGCCACCTCCCTCAGCTCCCCACCCCCAACCACCACGGCCTGCCACCTCCTTCAGGTAGAAGCGCAAGGCCTTCATCAGCTCCGCGTTCCCTTGGTTGGTAACTCCTCTTTTGTTTCCTCAGGTCTGGGCCCCTCTGACCACTCTCCTGACAAGGTAAGCACAGTCCGTTTGCTGGCTCATGTTCCCCTGGAGAGAACGGAGTATTCTTGGGGACAAAATGTGAGACCAAGTCTGGGTCTAAGTTCTTCAATGCAACAACAAAGAAATATTGGTTAGTCACGAGTCCACCCCAAGGAGAGAATATGTCCTTTGCAATTGTCCCCATCCTGTGTTTAAACCCTGGTGGCAACTCTCAGCTCTGTGCACCCTTGACAGGTTGCTTAACCTCTTTAATCTTCAGTTTTCTCACCAGTAAAATGGGCATTCTGCCCACTTCAATAAGCTAAAAGGATTAAGGAGTTAAGGACATAAAACACCTCATACACTTCCCAGCACAAGGAAGGCACCCATCCTTCTCCCATGCCTACTTCAAACAGGTCCTGCTCTTACTAGCAAAGGGGAGTTTCCATTCTAATGGATCTGAGGTCTGGCTCCTTTATTTTATAATCATTTTTACAGAATTTTTCTCATCTTAACCTTTCAATTGAGTGCACACGAATACTGAAAAGTACTGAAGTCCTAAGTGATTTTTACCACACATGATCTTTCACAAGGGGAACACACCCATGTCTGCAGTACCCGAATCCAGACACTCTGTGGCCATCTCCTTGCCCCCAAGAAGAATCCTTCTAGTCATTTCCCTACAAGATAGACCTCTGCCCAGATTGAGAGCACCGGAAATCAGGGTGCAGCATATCCCTTATGCATCTGGTTTCATTCAGCATTGTCTTGTGAGACAATTCATCCACAATTGTACATATTTGTGGTTTATTATTATTTTTAATTTTTTTTTTTTTTTGCAATGCTGGGAATCGAACCCAGGGCCTCAGCATGCCAGGCAAGTGCTCTACCACTGAGCCACATTCTCACTGCCAGGGTATGGTATTCCATTGTATCAACACCGTCATCCGCCTCTTCTAACCATTATTCATGAGGATGCTAGCAAGCAGAAAACCAGTAACCAAAGTCCCCTGCCAAAGTTAAATGTCCAGAAGAGGTGGCCACGCAGTGCGGTTGAGTCCCATCAGCCAGGATGACACTCTGACCTGTGACACTGAGCTGATTGCTGTTTCTACTTTCCAGGGGGATGATGTTGCTTATTCTTCTCTGAACTTCAACATCCAGGAACCAACACAACCAACTTCACCCACCTCCCTGTCCCCGACAGCCACAGAAACTGTTTACTCTGAATTGAAAAAGAAGTAATGCAACCTGTTCTGCTCGCTGCACTGGTGATGTGCTCCAAGTCTCAGCACCCTCACTAGGAGATCTCTTGAGGGGGAGGGGGGAAGAAGTCCCTCCCCACCCCATTACACACCTCCCTTCTGTGTCAACAAATGGAAAGAACATCCGGGAGTGTTCGGGCACACCAATCTTCCTTCTTGTTGAAATTTGGCAAAGTAGACTTTGGGAGAGAATTGAAGGACCTTCCTGTCCCTCCGGGCTTCCTGACCTAGACTTGTTTTAAATTTACTTATCCAGAGTGTACCAATTCCTTCCCAGCCCAGTCCTGACCTATCAGATTCTAACCTGAATTTTCCATAACCTTGAGAGTTATGTCCTTTTCCACTTAATTACTTATGCCAGAAAAAAAGAGAGAGAGAAAGTAAAAGCAGTAGTAGTGGCTTTTCCATTCTCTCCAAAACCCACCATCCACAGGAAAATCTAATATATAACCAGTAGTGACCTGGGAAAGTCTATAACTTTGTCCACTGTCAGGGTCGCCTACCTACAGGACCAGGGTCTGAGCACCTTGCTGCTTAGCTAGAATACCACCTAAGCCCTTTGGCAGAACTGTTTCCAGAGAACCCACCAGAAATAACTAGAAAAATATCTGCCAAGGTCCATAGGTGATTCCTAAAAAAAAAAAAAAAAAAAATGCAAAAATCACACCTATGCCTTTAATATCTGGATGGGTGTTATTGAAGGAAGTGCCCAGAAAAGAAGAGATTACAGCTTTTGCAGGGGGGAAAGAAAGCTTTTCATAGACACAACCTGCTGAGAACTTGGAAAAGGAGTAGAGAGCTACTCTTCATAAATTATTTAAATTATTGTTAAAGAATGTGTAATTGGGGGGTATTGGGAGTTTTTTTTCCTCCTTTTCTGATACTTTCTACCATTTTAATCTTTGTAACTGCTTACTTATGTGAATGGAATTATTCTTACTGGGCTTAGCTGTGTAGGCTGATCAGACCGCCTGAGGTTAAAGAAGCCACCAAAATGTCAACAGCCCTTGGCCAGAAGCCTCTGTGGCTTTTTTGACAAGAGCTCCAAATAGAAAACAAGAAGAGGCTTTCCTCATTCGTGCCAGGAATGGACAAGTCACCAGCTCCTTCTCCATGTTTCTGCCCGTGTGTTCTGTCCCTGTCTGCTGGCGTCCCTTAGGGTGTGTTTGGTCCTTAAAAAATGGGAGCCTCTAAAGGGAACACCACTGCTCATACCAATGGCGTGGTTCATGACCCAGAAAGCTGCACTGGTGCTAGTGCCCTTGGGACATAAGGGCTGTGAGAGGGGGTTAGGCCATAGTGGGGGATAAGCTGGCCCTGGATTTTCTGCTCTGAAACTTATCTTTTCTCACATAGGGTCAATGAGTCCCCATGTGTCTTAAGATAAAAATGAAAGACAGGAAAAGGAAAGGCAAATGTGCTTCTCATGCAGTCTTCTGCTACACAGATGGACTCTCTTTGGGGATATGAAGGGAAAGGTTGTATTTGATATTTGCTGCTTGATCTCCTGCTCTGCCTAACAGGCCTCCTCCAAGAGAATTCACTGGGAATTCTCCTACTCAGGTACCTCTTCAGGGATTTCCAGCCCTGACAGAGACTGTATATAGTTTCCCTCATCCATCCTGTGCTGGGTTATTTAATTTTGCCAGACTAAGGCCACTTCTGAATTATTTGTAAAATTTGCTCTATATTTATAATAAAAAAATCATGTATCAGACTTTCATATGCTGTCTCGTGGTTGGTACTACTTTAGACAACGCAAGTTTGCAGACAGAAAAGATTGCCCGTGGGTACACCTATTTTTAAGTCAACGGGTATCTGATGCAGCGATCAGAATTAGCTAAATTCATTTGCATATTTGCTAACAAAGTGAGCACATCTGGGAGCCACAGGTCACGTTCTAACCTGCCTGGAAGGAATGTGGATCTTCCTCTGGGAGAGGAAATGCCATCAGGAGTAACAGATCTCCCGGCCTCTTCCTTAGGGGCAAGTGACACTCACCATCTAGGCATCTCCAGTGAATCAGGGATGGAATACAACTGTCACTCACGAGGCGCTCCCCAAACTCGGTCATATAGAAATCTCTCCAGCATCTTCCATCTCTTCGTTGCCAGTGCTTTTCTTCTGCCTTCTTACAGAGCCAACCTCGATAACTTTCATTTATTGACTCTACTAGGTATTAACTTATTCTCTCATTCCCGTCACTTGTGATCAGCTGAAAGGTGCATGCTCTTTCTCTTCCCCCATCCCATTTCTCCATCCCCCAGACTGCTGGAGGCAACACAAAATCAGTATCCACCTCCTGGCCAAATTCAAAGGAATTCTCACTGTCCTCACATTTCATTTTTATATCCTCTAACACCACCGATGACCTTTTTTCTTCTGGGGCATTCTTCCATCCCCCACCTCTGTGGCACCCCTCCTCCACACTAGAATTAGTCCTCCGACCTTTATGTTTGCCTCCATGCAACCTCTCCTCAGCTGCAAAGAGCTCTGGGCAATGGCTCCTGCATTTATGTCTCTGGCCCCTGCTTCCCAGAACTGACGGCACTCACATCCAAATATCTTCTGAACTAGTCTTTGTTGAGACTGGCTGTCCTCCTCAACACACTCATCTCTGTCAGTGATACCACCAAAGTTCCCTGCTCTGTCATTTCCCAGACTCAATACATCGTCAAAGTCTGTTGTTTTGTTTTGTTTTGGGGGAGGCTGTACAAGGGATTGAACCCAGGGATACTTTCTCACTGAGCCACATCCCCAGCCCTTTTTATTTTTTATTTTAAGACGGGGTCTCACTAAGTTGCTGCAGATGGCCTCCAATTTGCTCTCCTCCTAATCTCGGCCTCCCAAGCACCTGGGATTACAGGCTTGCACCATCATGCCAGGCCTGTTAATTTGGTTTTTTTGTTTGTTTGTTTGTTTAAGAGAGAGAGAGAGAGAGAATTTTTTAATATTTATTTTTTAGTGGTTTTTTTTTGGCAGACACAACATCTTTATTTATACGTGGTGCTGAGGATCGAACCCTTGCATACCAGGCAAGCACGCTACCACTTGAGCCATATCCCCAGCCCGCCTGTTAATTCTTTTTAACATCTTTCAGTCATGTGGTTCTCTCCATTCCCACAAACCCAACTGACCTGACACTTCAACAACTGCGCCAAGTACTGCTTGACTTATTTCCTGAAATCTTCCTTGCATATTACTGCCTCATTACCTTTCTAAAAAGTCATTCATTCTCCTCCTCAAGAATCTACAGCAGGGCAGGTGTGATTGCCTGTTATCCCAGGGAGCCGGGAGGTTGAGGCAGAAGAATAACAAGTTTGAGGCCAGCCTCAGCAACTTAGCCAGACCCTATCTCAAAGTAAAAAGGACTGTTGGATGTAGCTCAGTGGTGCTGTGCTTGCCTAGTATGCTCAAGGCACTGGGTTTGGTCTCCAGTATCATTAGATCAGTTCAATATTTTTCTCTTACCAATCTTTCTTCATGGCCTTTCCCCAGCATAATTCCTCCATTCTAATTAGATGCGTGTCTCTACACATCCTTGCCCATCTATCCAATGTATGCTAATTCTTAGTCCCAATGTTCTGCCTAAAAATGCATTCCAAACAGGGTGATCTCTCCATTATCTGCCCTGCAGTTACCCTCACCCTTCATCACAAGCAACCTCTAACCTCATGGAGGACAAAGATTGCAGCATAAATGTGTGAATCTAAGGCAAAGGACACTGCTACATGTGATTGAGGATCTTTTCCTAATGATCAATTTATGTGATGATGAGAGATACAGAAATGAAGAAGTCGGTGTCCCTGCTCCCAGGAACATAAAGCCTAAAACAGAAAATAGACATGGGGGGGGTGGGGTTGTGGCTCAGTGGTAGACCGCTGGCCTAGATGCTTGAGGCACAAAGTTCAATTCTCAGCACTGCATATAAATAAATAAAGATCCATTGACAACTGAAAAAATATTTAAAAAAAAAAAAAAGAAAATAGGGGCTGGGATTCTGGCTCAGCGGTAGAGCGCTTGCTTAGCATATGCGAGACACTGGGTTCAATCCTCAGCACAACATAAAAAATAAATAAATAAAATAAAGGAATTGTGTCCAACTACAACTAAAAAAATTGTTAAAAAAAGTAAAATAGAGATGGAAAAAAATAATATTAATATAAAAATGAAAGGGATACATGCCTCAGGAAGACAGACATCCAATGGAAAATACGGCTCCACACTGGAATCACTGGAAAGTTTGTTAAAGGAATACTGATGCTCAGACACCACACAGATTTAGGAGTGGGACCCAGGCGTTGGTAATTTTTAAACCTTCTGCATGCTACTGATGCATGGCCAGGATGGAGAACCCCTGCTGTCATAGATAGGAGCTGGGTCTACACTGATGGGTTTTAGATAAGGTTATATAGAGTTGCCCAGGGAATTTTTTCAACATATAGAACCCTCTCCGTCCCTGGAGAAGCAGGTACAGTATGCCCGGGCTTGTGTATTTTTAAAAACTCCCAAGTGATTCTCCCGTACATTCCTTATTAGAAAACAGTGATCTGGGGCATGGGTAGGATTGAAAAGATGAAAAAGGAGTTGGAAGAATGTTGGACGTGCTGGGCATGAGATGAATAATCTATTCTGCAAGGTGCAGAGAGAAACACAGGAAGAAATTGCTGGTGATGGCTAAACTTTTAAAGATGGGTGATCCTGCTTCTTTTGCATCAAGACAGCTGGGTTGATGTCTGGTCAGTAGAACATTTCAACAAGATCAACCCGGCCCTGTGTGGAACTAGGGGCTGTTTTGAACCCAGGCGGCGCTGTATGAGGTACAAATTAATGAACAGGAGAAGATTAGTACAGAAAAAAAGTTAAAACATGGCATTCTGAGAATGTTTGATTGCAAGCACCGATCTCCCGTGGTAATGATGGCGCTGACTTTCAGTGGTATATCGGGCAGGTACACAGAGACGCTAAGATGGTGAGAAAATCCCAAAACATCTCACAGAATGCTGAATGGAGAAGTAGTTGATTAAAACCTGACCCATCACACCTGCAACGTGGATGTTGATGAATACTAATGAAGTGATGAATTGTCCCTGGCTCTAGTCACTTCAGTCTGAATGACATGCCCATTCAGAAAGGCCAGTTTGCTGTAAAGTTCATAGGATAGAACAATTTCTAACTAGTACCACAAAGTTTCCTTTTTCTGTTATATGAAAACCTGGTGATAAGAAAAACATCCAGGAAAGGCAGACATGAAGGGAAAGCATACAGTTTGGGACTATTTCTTTTCTTTTCTTTTTTTTTAAAGTCATAGCTAAACCATGAACTAATAGGTTTTTTAACAGAAAGTTCTTGACTTTCACATAATTAACCTTGTAATCAAATTATTCATGAGCACCTTTAATCACCTCTTTGGATTTAAGATACATAATTGTAATTAAAACTGAGAAAAAGTTTTAATGTACCAAAGATTTATGAATGAATTTAGTGATATTTTTATAGAGAGGTGTCTGTTTGGTCACTGAGCACCATAAGTGGTTAGTAGCCAAGTCATGGAATATTTAGTCCTAATGTAACAGTAGAGAAAGGTGGGGTGGGATATTGAAAATGAAAGGAGAACATAATACAACAATAAAGTTTTTATTAACCCCCACTCCCCCAAAAAAAAGACTTGACAATCCCAAGTGTCATGAGGAGGGGAATAACCAGAATGCTTATAGATTGCTGATGGAGATCCACAATGGCACAGTCCCTCAGAGAAATGGCTTGATGGTCCTTATAAAGTTTTGACACACTCTATAACCCAGTGATCCCACTCCTACATATTTATCTGAGAGAAATGACAATGTATAGCCGTGAAGAACCACACATGAATGTTCACAACAGCATTTTTCATAATGACCGCAGGTGGAAATAATTCAAATGACCATCAGCAAATGAATAATAAGCAAATTGTGTTGTGCCAATAGGACAGGATTTACTACTCTTCTGCAACTAAAGTGTTCAAACTTGTAAGAAATGGACGAATCTTGCTGGGAGTAGTGGTGCATGCCTGGGATTGCTTGAGACCAGGAGTCCAAGGATGTTCTGAGTGACATAGTGAGATCCTGTCTTAGAAGGAAAAAAAAAAAAAAGCAAAACAAAGGATGAATCTTTAAAATATCATGCTGTAGCCAGGTGTGGTGGCACACTCCTGTAATCCCAGCAGGTCAGGAGATTGAAGCAGGAGGATGGCAAGTTCAAGGCTAGCTCAGGAATTTAGCAAGGCCCTAAGCAATTTAGCAAGATTTTGTTTGTTTGTTTGTTTGTTGTACTTGGGATTGAACCCAGGGGCATTTAACCACATTGAGCCACATCCCCAGCCCTTTTTATTTTTGAGACAAAATCTCACTAAATCAACTATCATGCTGTGCAAAGTCAAACAGACATAAAGGAGCATGTATTATATACCAGTTAAATGATGTCTGCCAAGAATAGGCACTTTTAACTAATGGTGCTAAGAATTCATTCAAGATGGGTGGAATTAATTGTAAAGGCATTCAAAGGAATTCAGGGATGGCAGAATTGTTCTACATCGCAATTGAGGTGTGATTGCATGGGTGTACACATTTACCAAAATCAAATTGTAAAGTTCAGGAGTGTAGCTCAGCATCATGAAAAAAAATAAAATTTTATACTTAAGGTCTGTATGCATTTCAATGTATTCTAATTTTTGCCTCAATTTTT